TAAAAGTTTTCTCAAGAAAGTTTCCTTTTAACCAAACACGTCCTCGTTAATAATTAGCAGTGCACCGTTTAGAAGGTTGAGGTTCTCCTGTAGATATTTGAAACACAAAAAACCCAATAAACGCCTCCCACCCACCAAATGTCCCCAGAGGGTCAGATTTATGAATATATACAGAATCCGAAACCATTTTGCGAAAGAGAGAAACGTTAGGTAGGAATCAGATTCATTTCACCTACCTATTCTCTTCTCTCTTTCTGGGTTTTGCAATTCCTTTTGTTCAATCAATTTCACCGCCTCGTTTTTAAATACAATTTTTTTCCCTTCATCGAATTTCTTGTTCACCGATTTGCTTTGTTTGTCTCCTAAGTATGGGTTTTTTGGCTACCCATTTTCCCAAAATCAGATCTTTGCTTCACAAAGGCTGACAATCCTCTTGAAACAATTTGGAAAACGGATTTGGGCATTCAGTAATCGTTAAACCAAAGCAAAAAGCTTTTATTTTTCCAAGAAAAATTAGTTTTTGAATCATGGGTAAGGGAGGAATTCAGTTGTTCGACGATAAGATGGATGGGTTATTCTCTATATGCAATCTGGGGTCTAAATGGAGTCTGACAGAGCGGCACCCTTACCCCGGTGGTTTATTTGCAAGCGTTGGTCAAATGGGAATAGGGTTTGGTGTTTCTCCCAATTCTACAAATTCCCGTGACAACAGTGGCGTAAAATCTCCGTACACAGAGTTGTATGAGAAGTACGTTGCCTCGCCGCAGGAAATTCGTCTTGTTGGGATACCAGAAGGGGAAGGCACTGTGAAGAAGAAGGAGAAGAAAGCCGGTCTTAAACTGAAAATCAAGGTTTCTAACCCTTCATTAAGGCGCTTAATAAGCGGCGGAATAGCTGGGGCCGTTTCAAGGACTGCGGTGGCGCCGCTGGAGACCATAAGGACGCATCTGATGGTCGGCAGCAGTGGGAATTCTACTGCTGAGGTGTTTCACAATATCATAAAGCACGATGGATGGAAGGGGCTGTTTAGGGGCAATTTGGTTAATGTGATTCGAGTTGCACCTAGCAAGGCCATTGAGGTACCAAATAAAAGAATCTGAATTTTATCGCAATTAGTTTTCGGATAGTGCAAGTTTTGTGGTTCTCTAATATATTTTTTGAGCTTTGAATGTTCTTTTGTTGGTTAAGTATTTTCTTTCATATGAATTTAGCGTTTTTATGCTAGCCACTTATTATTGCTAATGTGCTTTTTGGCCAGATGTTGCTTATTTTTCTAATGTATGTTTCTTTCTAATTTCCATCATGTTATTCATTGTTGTCAACTTCTGTTTCGTTTTTGTGATTTCATCCTTGACCTTTGTCCGTTTTAGCATACGTTTTTATTGGTAAAGGTGTAAACTTGTGTATGTGTTGTAAGCGGTGTCACATTATACGTTTTTATTGGTAAAGTTGTGTAAAGTTGTGTATGTGTTATAAGTGGTTTCTCTCATAGCAGTGTTTCATTAATTTGAGGGGTGAAACAGAGTTCTTGAGACTTTCCATTCTTTGCATTGGCTTGTGTTTTTTTATAACTTAAGTTAGTTGATTGTGTATAAGAACTATACTCAATGGTATGGTTATAATTTGTTTCCCCTAATTCTTTTGAAGTCAGCAAACGTAAGAAAGGGTTGGGCATAATAGTAAAAATACCATTTTTGACATACCACCTCATGTAGGTGAGTATAGCTGATAATGGCATCAGCTATATTCTTTATGTTATTTTTGACTGTTGGTTTTATGTTCAATTTTATGCCATTTTTAACTCTCCGGTTAGCATGATTAACAATAGGTTTTCCTTTTTGGGACTTAGCCATTAACTAATTATCAATGTTTGCCTTGGCATTTTTTTAACCTTGCTGATTGTTGGGTGTGGTTAGTTGTTGGCTTGTTTTGTTATGCTCAAGCATGTCTTTTTCCTGTCTTCATTTCCGGCTGCAAGTTGCATTCCAGTTACGAATCATAAGAATGCCTGTATCATGCGTTCTTCACTCATATAATCAAATAGTTTTAATTCACCATATCCCAGTCTCTACTACTTGTTAGGGATGTCATTTCAGTGTTATAAGATATGGAATAAGAAAAGGAATTTTTGTTGATCTATCTGACAGCAAACATGAATTACGTCATTGATGATGAATTTGTGAAGTTATTTATCTTTTGCAAATGTATTTTTTTTCTTTGTTTCATCAAATATGGTAGAATTAATTTACGAGTTCTAACTTCCATGTATGAACTTGTCTGCAGCTGTTTGCTTTTGATACTGTCAATAAGAAATTGTCACCCAAGCCTGGAGAACAACCAAAAATCCCTATACCTGCCTCATTAGTTGCAGGAGCTTGTGCTGGAGTCAGCTCAACTTTGTGCACATATCCACTTGAGTTAGTTAAGACTCGACTAACCATAGAGGTAAAAACCAACTGAATTTTGAAATTAAATGCAGTCCGATTAAGCCTACATATCTTTTTCTAACATTTGGTTACCCTCAAATTTTGCAGAAAGATATGTATGATGGCATACTTGATGCCTTTGTGAAAATATTGCAAAATGAAGGCCCTGGTGAACTATATAGGGGCCTTGCTCCTAGTCTCATTGGAGTAATACCGTATGCTGCCACAAATTATTTTGCATATGACTCATTAAAGAAAGCATACCGGAAAGTCTTTAAGCAAGAGAAAATTGGAAATGTTGAAACCCTTTTGATTGGATCACTGGCTGGGGCTGTATCAAGTAGTGCAACTTTCCCACTTGAAGTGGCTCGCAAGCACATGCAAGTTGGGGCTCTCCATGGGAGAAAGGTTTACAAGAATGTGTTTCACGCACTCTCGAGCATCCTTGAACAAGAAGGCATCCAGGGATTATATAAAGGTTTGGGTCCTAGCTGCATGAAGTTGGTGCCAGCTGCGGGAATTTCTTTCATGTGTTATGAAGCAATGAAAAGGATACTGGTAGAGGATGATGAAGAAGCATAGAAAATCTTCATGGGAAATAATAAAGTGACGCATTAGTCATGCCTATTTTTGAACAAGGGACTGAGCTTTCATTTTTTTTTTTCCTGTACTGAAATTTT